TCATGCTAAACAAAATCAAGGGTGGCAAAGGAGCCGGCTTCCACTCAGCGGAAGCTGACCAATTGAATGAATGTTCTTTATAGAAGTGAGAGGATGTAGTAAAGAATCTAATTTGGTAAGTACTTTTTTTTTTAAAGGGAAGTTTCTTCTTTTGTGGCCATTTAATCTGATCATTGTTCCATGTGGGGAGTTAGAATTTCCAAAACGAATTTTACATCATGGAAAGGTCATTCTAGAGAGTTCTACCCTACGGTATAACCATATTCCAGCTAAATGAGCAACAATGGCGAAACAAAGCCCCATTGGGCTCTTAATAGAGAAGTTTTTTTTTTTCTTCTGAGCTATAATTGATCCAAGCTGCTGCTTCTTATGGTATAAATTCATAACATGTCGAGGAGGCCAGAAGAGTCCCATGTGACCTGCTTTGTGTCACTGTAGCAAAGACACTTAAGTTACCCTGAGTACAAGGGTCTGACCACCTCTCCCCCTGAGAAGGGAGAGGAAAGAAGACAACAAAAGAGCTTTTTCCAAGTCCATGTGGTTTAATCCCTAGGAGAGTCTTTTAGACCCTAACTTGGAGCTATTAATTTTATTTCAGAAACAGTTGCAATGTCTTGTTTGTCCGGTTTCTGGTTTTTCACAACAGATTAGGAGATGCATGTTGGAGGGAAGGAACGAGGGCGAGGCAGGGGGCCCAGGGGTCGTCTGGGAACTTCCTATTAGAGGAGAAAACGGGGAAGCCAGTCAGGCCATTTTCTCCAGAGGCAAAGTGTGCTGTCCCTCGCCGTCACTCATGGTTCCTGTGTCACCAAGAAAGGTTCCGAGGATGTTCACTGTCCTCAGCTTAAGAACATGGAGTGTGCATTTAGAAATGTTTTTATTAAAAAATAGTGGTATGAGCTTGGCCGGCGTGGCTCAGTGGTTGAGCATCGACCTATGAACCAGGAGGTCACCATTCAATTCCCAGTGAGGGCTCCATCCCCAGTGGGGGGCCTGCAGGAGGCAGCCAATCAATGATTCTCTCTCATCATTGATGTTTCTCTCTCTCTCCCTCTTCCTTCCTCTCTGAAATCAATAAAAATATATATATTAGAAAGTAGTATGACAATTTGGGAACTTGTTATTTTGTAGGACACATATTATGTAGAAAGGGAATTTCTACATATGGACTATTCCATTCTGGATGCCATTTGGGGGTGTGTGGGGGGGCATCTTTCATGGGAGATAAGCAAAGTGTGAGGGGTTTAGTGCTGGGTCAATGAGGTGTGAATGAGTTGGTTTCTTCTGAGACTGAGAGGGGAGGATTTATTCCAGCCCTCCCTCCTTGGCTAGTATATGGCCATCTTTCCCTCTCTGCATGTCTATCTGTGTGTCCAAATTGTTTCTTTTTACGAAGACACTAGCCATATTGGAAACAGGACCTGCCTTAATGTCTTTATTTTATCCTGATTGCTTCTATAAAGACTGGGTGGAAAGAGATTGACTAAAGAACTTATATGCATATATGCATAACCCATGGACACAGTAGTGTGGTGAAGCCTGGGGTAGGGGAGGGGGCAGATGTGGGCTAGAAGGGGTCAATGGGGCCAAGGGGACATCTTTAACACTTTCAACAATAAAGATAAATTTAAAAGGAGACCCTCTCTCCAAGTAAGGTCACCTTCTGAGGTGCTGAAGGTTAGGACTCCAGCACATGTTTTTGAGAGGGACATACCTCAACCCATAGCAAGGTGTTACTCTGCGTGAGAAAGCCGGCCACCTTAGGCTCATTCTTCAGTCACCTGTAGCTCACACATGCTGTAGTTGTTATAAGTCTTCTGGGACAAAGGGCATGCATGGTGACTTGGCTTATCTCACACTGAAGATGCCCCGCCCTCACCCCCACCCCCAAATGGCATCCAGACCCTGGTGAGAACAAGTCAATTGTGTTGAAGGGTTGCCGTCTGTCACAAAGCCGTGAATGCCACAGGCTGACTGTGGTTACGTCAGGTTTCCACATGTGCTGAGGAAGTAGCCTGGGTCTCAGCACAGCGGTGGGGAGAAGGGTGGGGTGGTGTGAGGCATATCTCTGTTCGGTATGGGCTTAAGGTAGGGATACATAGACTGCTCTTTTATAGCTTTCATTAGAAACCAAGAACTCAACTGTTTTCTTGCAAATGGAATAGAAAAATCCAGGTTCACTTTAGTAATTCAAATGCCAGGAGGAGAAAAATCTGCCAGTCCACTTAGTTGTTGTAGAGACCTCTTTTCAGCAATTGTGTAGACATCTCAGAGTTGCCGTCCACTGCTGTTCCCTGAGCTAGAATTAGTGTGACAGACATCAACTAACTGGGCAGGGGAGACACAACAAACCTTTAACACTTAAGAACAAAGTTGGCCTTTGAGGTAAGGTAAAACCAGGCACTCAGTCATGTAGAGTCCATTGGAAAACAGGATTTTTGTGACCTTAATGTAATGATTTTGATTGGGAGGCTGATTCAGAGCGTACAGTATTGGCTAGCAGAGGTTTGACTAAGAAATCACTGCCTTCAGTATATAGATTTAGAGTTACTATAGAGTCTGAAGCTCATGAACATCCTAACTCTGTACATCCTTAAGTTGTATATCTAATTGCTGTCAGTATCCCTAAAGGACAGAGCTGATAACAGTTCAACCATGGACTAAGTGAGCCTGACATTTATGCCAAAAAAAAAAAAAAACCCCAAAAAACAAAACCCCACAAATAACCCCCAAACCTCACCTGATTAAAGTCCAGGAACTCAGTCTAATGACTCATCTTGACATTTGGTATTAACAATGGCTTACAGACACCTAGACACAGAGAATGGACTTGTGGTTGCCAGAGGGGAGGGGCCTTGGGAGACTGGGTGACAGAGGTACAGGGATTAAGAAGAACACGTTGGTAAGTTACAGAATAGGGAAGTGGGGTACAGCCTGGGGAATATAGCCAATAACATAGGCGTAACTATGTGTGGTGCCGGCTGGGTACTGGAAAGAATCGGGGGAACACTTTGTAAAGCATATGATTGCTTAACCACTATGCTGTGCAAGTCATATTGAAAGCAAACAGGAACTAAGTATGGAACCAGAAGCCCAAGTAGGAAAAATCCCAGATCCTCTCTTACTATGTTCACTCTACATGCAGCGATGCCAGCCCCTTGCAGGTGTATCTGCTGTGCATGTGCTGGCTGTATATGAAACTATATTTTTTAAAAATGTCACATCTCAGTGTTTCTAAGGGTGCTATCAGCTTGGTAGAAAAATCTTATGTAACGTGGTACTTAAAGAGGAGCCTGAGTATTATTTAGTCATCTGTTTGTGCAGCTATATTTTTTAGCTTCCTTTGTGATGAGCCAATAGTTTTCTTGCTTTTTATTTATTTTTTGAACTTCCCAGCTCTGTTTCCGTCCCTTGGTTCAGTTTATTTTCCTCTCAATTTCCTTCTGAACGCATTACAAAGAACTTTCTTTGGAAACTTCATAACGATTCCATGCAAGTAGGCGGCATCCATCAGAAAGCACCAAACCAAACGACCGCAAGGAAAGACTTGAAAGGGAATCAGAGGACACATGCGTTCTTTCCAACACAGGGCAATAGAAACATGGGTGGATGCCCCGTTCTCTTTGTTTAGTTCTTTTTCTTGTTTCTTTGTATTTTTATTGAAAACGTTGTCTGTGGCCATGTAAAACCTCTGGCAGGCAACACTTCTGACTGACCAAGAATCTTCAGATTGTTGCCAGTTGAGGTATCATTATTGTCAGAGCATTAAAAACCCGCTTGCCCTGGGATCTGGAATAGCGAGTCTGGAGGAAAGAAAGCAAGAAAGACACACGTGGGCCTTGAACGCCTGAGAAGATGCTCAGCCTCACTCTCCATGAGAGGACTGCAGGTGAAAACCACCCTGAGACCCATTTCTCGCCTCTGCGATTAGCAAACATGTTGACCACACGATCTGCTGGCAGGACTGTGGGGAAATGAGCCCCTTCCTGCAGGCTGATGAGAGTGCAAAATGGTTCCACTCCGCGTGGACAAGTCTGGCAACATCCGCCCGCAATGCACACATCGTCGCTCTTTGACAAGACGGTCACTCTCCTCTCCTTGGAACATGTTTCTCACTTGGGCTCTAGGACAGCAACACTCCTGTATTTCCTCCTACAGCGTAGTTCCCGCCCTTTGAGCCTCCTTTGCTGGCTCACCCTGCTCTGCCTACCCGGGGTGCTCGGGCTCATTCGGGACTCTCTCCATCACCCCCCTCTCCTTAGATCATATGCCATGCAACCCCAGTGCCTATTATTTTTGTATGAGATAAAATATCTATTAATATAAATTTCACTGTTTTAAAGTATCTGATTTAGTACATTCACATTGTTGTGCAACCACCGCGTCTGTCTCCGTCCTGGTACATTCTCATCACCCCAAAGGAAACCCATACCCATTCACAGTGGCCTCTTCCCACTTCCTTTTTTTCCTAGCCCCTGGCAACCACTAATCTCCTTTCTGTCTCTGTGGATTTGTTTATTCTAAATGTTCCAGATAAATGGTATCATTCACTTAGTGTAACAATCCCACAGTTCATCCATGCTGGCGTGTATATCGGTACTTTGTTCCTTTTCATGGCTGAATAATATTCCGCAGTGTGGTTAATCCACATTGTGTTTATCCTCTTATCCATTGGTAGAGATTGGTTGTTTCCACCATTTGCTACTTTAAACAATGCTGCTATGAGTATTTGTGTACAAATTTTTGTTTGAATATCTGTTTGCAGTTTTTTGGGGGGTCTATACCTGGGAGTGAAATTTCTGGGTCACGTGGTAATTTTATGTATATCTTTAAAAGTTAACTGAATTTAATTTTTATTAAATGTATGGGGGTGACATTGGTTAATAAGGTTATATGGGTTTCAAGTGTATATTTCTGTGACACATGATCTGTATATTGCATTGTGTGCCCCCCGCCCAAAGTCAAGTCATCTTCCATCATATATTTGGCCTGCTTCACCCTAAAAAATACAGAACACCATGAATTTGTGAGTCATCCTTGCACAGGGGCCATACTCATCTCTGTATTGTTCCAATTTTTGTATATGTGCTGCCGAAGCGAGCATGGTAATTCTGTTTAACTAATGACTCCCAAATCTGTATTCCTGGCCCGGCTTCTTCCGGTTGTCTACTTCAAATCTCCTCAGACATACTGGTATCTCAAAGTTCACTTGTCCGAATCTAAAGCTGTTTCTCTCCACTCGCCCAAACTCCTCCTCCAGTCTTCTCATCTCAGGAAATTGCACCACCAGTCACCTGGGTGCTCAGCCAGGGGCCTGAGGACTCAGCCTCCATTCCCCTCCCCCGCGCTCCCCGCATCCAGTTCATCCGCTCTCCTCCCCAGTGGCCACCCTGGTCCATCGTCTCTCACCCGGACCTCTGGGAGTTCCCCAGCGACTTTCACTTTCACTCTTGCCCCTGGAGTCCTTTTGCCATTCAGTATCCAAGGTCCTCTTTTAAAAACACATCCACGATCCCTTAGCTTCAGACCTCCCATTGGCTGGACGCTGCCATCAGAACTTAAACCCAAGTGGCTCCGTGGCCTGAGGCCCATGGGAACCTGGTGCTGGCTCCCTATCCTGCCCTGCCTCCCGCCCCCTTGTTTCTTGTGCTTCACACACTGGCCCTTTTGTTCCTTGTACTGGTACCTGCCACAGGGCCTGCGAACTCGCTGTCCCCTCTGTCAGAAACTGCACGGCTAGTTCCTTCTCGCTGCGGAGACTTCCTCTCAGATGTCACCTCTTAGGGAGGCCTTGCCTGAGCACCCCTCCCCCCAAACTCAGCCAACCTCTACCTGACTGCATCCATCTATTTGTTCACTGATATGTCATTGACATGTTCGCATCATCATCTGAAATGATCTTATTTACATTTATGTGTTTCTTTTCTTTGTTAGAAATATTTTTTATTGATTTCAGAGAGGAAGGGAGAGAGAGAGATAGAAACATCAATGATGAGAGAGAATCATTGATTGGCTGCCTCCTGCACGCCCCCTCCTGGGGATCAAGTCTGCAACTGGGGCATGTGCCCTTGACCAGAATCGAACGCAGGACCCTTCAGTCTGCAGTCTGAGGCTCTATCCATTGAGCCAAACCGGCTAGGACTGTGAGTTTGTTTTCATGTTTGTTTTCCATCACCCCTTTTGAACTCCTGCCCCAAACAGAAGCTGCATGAGGACAGGAGTTTTGCAGGTCCTTTTCATGGCTGTATCTCTGGCACAAGGAAAGTGCCTGGTATCTACCAGGCACAGGAAATGTGTTTGCTGGATACCAATGAAGGAGAAAAGTTTATACCTCACCTGGCCCTGAGCAAACCCTCCCGACCCCACTACCACCTCTCCCCCCTCCCCTCCTCATCAGCAGCCAGCTAGGAGTGGACCGCATTCATGCAGTCCTGGGTCCTTCCCGCTGTAACCCTGAGCCACCCAGCTTTGCCACCACCACCTTCTGAGTGGCTTCCTCGGGTTCCCAGTAACTCTGTGCGCGTCCCAGCCCTGTGCACGGTCCCCTTTCTGTGGCATCAGACACCATCAATCCCATTCACGTTCATGAATGCTACTTTGACACGTTGCCTTTTCTTGGCCTGGGTCTTCCAGGGGCCTGGTAGCCTGGGGACACATCCCAGAGCCTCTCAGGGCTGTGCTGAGCTCCATTCGCTCACACCTGGTGAGCAGCCTGGCTCTCAGCCAGGTGACCCAGGGCAGTTGGAATGGGTCAGTGGCACAAAGTCCCCATGAAAAGTGCCAAGGATGCTGCTCAACACTCCGGAAGGGATCTTGACCTCAGGCAGGTGGTACCGTGGCAGTGGTGTGCCCTGAGGGTGCCCCAAGGTCAGGGAAGAGCCACCACCAAAGGCACTGCTGAACTGCCTGCTCTGGGTAGCTTCATCTGGGCTGTAAATGGGTCTTTTCTCTACAAAGAAGGCGGGATCCTTTGCCTGCGTCTGTGCCATCGTTGGAACCATGCCATTGCGTCAAGGCACAGCTGATGGGCTAAATCGCAGTCCTCTTCTTGCCCCACTCAATTCCCACTCTGAATGAGGAGCCTGGGATTGTGGAGTGCCTACCTCTCCCATCAACTAGCTGCGTGACTGTGGGCAGGTGATTGCCCACCTTAAATCCTTCAGCTCCACACCCGAAAAGAGAGCAGGAGCATGGCGGCCACAAAGGGTTCTTGTGAGGATGAAAGGAGGCCATGCCCAGGACACTGAACCATCAATGGCTCCCCATTGCCCTCCTGATTAGGGCTGACATGCAGGCCCCCCTGCCTCGTGTTCCTCCATAGCTCCTCAGGCTCCCCCACCGGCTCCCAGCACGCCAGGCCCTGCACCTTTGCATGAACCTTCCACTGCTTATAGGAGACCATTTCCCCCGGGACTTTGCTCCTTCTCTGTATTTTCTAAACACAACTAGAAACATGCATTAATTTTATACTCAGGGAAAATGCTCACCATTAATGTTTTAAAAGCCATGTTCCCCATAACAATTTTTCTTGATCTCTTGTCATCTGTGGGTGCTCAGGCCTTAAAAGCACAGATTTCTAAAACCTCTCCTAGAGTGTGCACTGTGGGGCCTTCACAAAGTCAAGTATGAATGGGGACATAGTACAAATACACAACCAATTGTTACCGAAGTGAAAATTGTAAACTCTCTGAGGGCAGACCCTCATCTTTCGCTTATCTGGGTATTTCCACTGCGGTGGCTGGTGACTATCAGAGGCTCCTGGCCCATGGTTTCAATAAATATTTGTTTAATTGAATTGTGAACCAATGCATGTAAGAACAAGCAGGACCTGCATGCCTGGCCTCTTATGAATAGAATAAAAATAACCCATGTAATTCATCAGATTAACTGATAAAAGGTTTTGTTCTTTCGCCTGGAGAGAGGGCCATAAAGAGATCATTCTTCTCCAGCAGTTTAATGCCACTTGAGTGGATGAATAACAGCAGCAGGAATAACAATAGATCAGATCATATCTATCTTTCGCTTTTTCACCCATGAAATATACTTGAAATGCTGGACAAGGGTCAGCTCCCGAGACTGGATGAGGTGCTGCCCTGTCTCCCTGCCTCACAGAAGAGTAACTGTGAAGAAACACGCCCTGGGCCGAGGCATCCCTCTGAGGCGGCACTCATCCACCCGGCTGCGGGGAGCGGGAGAGGTCAGGTGACCTGCCTTTCACCTTGTTTTGTGGGAGCAGTTTAATGATGAGGTGATGAACTCGTTCTTACAAAGTCTCAATTCCTCTGTGTGCCTAGTAAGAGAGAGCTAAGTTTTGTTTCAAGCTTATTGATTAGACCGGAAGGCTGAATCAGACACTGTTGACACGATCATCTGTTTAAATCATTCCTTTTCTTTCGATGTGAGCCCAAAATGCTGGTTACATTTTTAGTGATCGTGGTCATCATTGAACAGCCTCCTCTGAGCACCTTCCTGTCGGGACATCTGTACGCCGTCGGGTAGTTCTGATCCGAAAGGAACTTGTAATTTAAAGTAGCACACAGGCCAGTGATTCTCCACTGGGGACAGGTTCCTCCTGCAGGACATGGGCTGCTGTCTGAGGACATTGTTGGTTGTCGTAAGTGGGGAGGGGTATTCCTGGCATCTCGTGGGTAGAGGCTGGGGATGCTGTTAACCATACCAGGATGCATACACAGCCCCACAACACAGAATTATCTGGCCCCAAATTTCAATAGTGTGGAGGCTGAGAAACCCTGATGAAGACAAATGGACTTAAATGACAAATAGTGGCCGACCGGTATGACTCAGGGGCTGAGCATCAACCTATGGCCCAAGAGGTCATGGTTCAATTCCCAGTTGGGGCACATGCCTGGGTTGTGGGCTCAATCCCCAGTAGGGAGTGTGCAGGAGGCAGCTGATCGATGATTCTTTCCCATCATGGGTGTTTCTATCTCTCCCTCTCCCTTTCTGTCTGAAATCAACAAAAATATATTTTTTGAAAAAGGACAAGTAGTTGAAAAATAGTGATGATTAAGAAATACCTAGGTGATATTTAGACAAGAGATTTGGAGGGACAGGGAACAACTTGATACCTATTGAAACAGCCCCGATGGATGATTTAAGTACCTTTCTGCCACTATTGGAGCAGCTTCGTGAAAGGGATGAGCAGGGTGCGAAGGTCAGTAGGGAGCCAGGAGCTCTTCAGTCCGGCGCATGATGAATTGCAGTCACGCTGATTTCCATCACTGTGGTCTACCTCTGATAAAAATGCAGGCATTTAGGAACCGATCCCTACTAAGGAGCCCTGTACATTGGAAGACAGGGACTTTACCCTGTGATTACAAAATTACTCAGCAAGGCCAGAAACAACTACTTCAAGTTCACCATCATATGAAATCAAAGACCAAAAAAAAAAAAAAAAAAAAAAGAAGAACCATCTCGCCAGTTCAAAGAAGTTATTGCATCACTTCCTTGTGCATGGTTCTAGCTAAAAATAACCTTTAATCCTCGTCAAGAGTGAACTGTCTTGTCAGAGAGAACTAGGAAGTTACTTCAGAGTGAGGTTAGAGGGCGGGGAAGAGAGAGCAATTCATCAAGGAAGAAATTGCTTGTTGCATTTTAAGATTAAAATATCGGAGTGACTAGAAAATGTGAGGCTAAGGGGATCTGGGCTGTGATGGGAGGTGGAGGAGGAGACAGGTGCACAGGGAAGTATTTCTATGTTTTCGTGAGTGTGGGGGTCAGGAGGCACGTGATTCCTACCTGTAGTAGAGGTGGCCTGCTAGGGTGTCTTAAATGTTGGACAGCGGTGTTCTTTTTATTTATTTTTTAATATGTTTTTATTGATTTCAGAGAGGAAGGGAGAGGGAGAGAGAGATAGAAACATCAATGATGAGAGAACCATTGATCGGCTGCCTCCTGCATGCCCCACACTGGGGATCGAGCCTGCAACCTGGGCATGTGCCCTGACGGGAATCGCACAGTGACCTCCTGGTTCATAGGTCGACGCTCAACCACTGAGCCATGACAGCCAGGCCAGCCGGTGTTCTTTTGTTCTCAGTCTTGGGCAGTGTGCCTCAGCCTTGAGTGCTCACAGAGATAGAGGGT